CCTGGACCCGCTCATCCCTGAGGACCCCACGTGTACAAACTTGGCTCCGTTTCGAGATGGGTCAACGGGTCGGGGCTCTTCCAACACGATATTGCGGGGACCGGATAGGCAGTGTCGCTTTCTAGCATTTGCCTACGTAGCATGACCGTCGACCATTGGCTTCACCTGAGCCAACAACTCCGGTCACTCTTGACTCAAGACATGGAAGAGGGGTAGATCATGCCATGGTCCTTGTAATTGTGCTGTACATAGCCTTGGTAAGAAGGGCATCGTCGCCAATGAGGCTATCATAGTCCAGCCGGGCAGCCGGGGTGAGCGGCTCTTCGCCGTGCGGGATCGTGTCACAGCAGCTTGGCAAGGGACCTCTTGAGAGGTTTCCCTTTACTGGTGGAACCAGATCTTCGTATAGATCAGCCACTACAAGACCATTCTAGAATAAGGATGAGCAATGATAGACTTGGGATCCCTGTTCAGGGTCCTACTTCTGCCGCACGTACTGTTGTTCAGTCTGGTCGACACTATAGACATGCATGAAGTAATAGGGTTGTTTTGCGGACCAACGTGGGGTTAAGAGATGATTCACTTGAGCTCTCGGGATATATAAAGAGGCATTGTTCTCGTATTTTCAGTTCTGTCCATATTCTTCTCTCATCCTCATACACATCACTTCAAACTACTTATCACATCTCCCACCCAAACACAAACCACAATGGCTGGAAACTTCTTTGCTACTGCCGAGGGACTCCGTCTTGAGGACAACCACTTCCTCAGAGGTCGCCTCCAGAGAATCGACGGCGAGTGGGTTGACACTGAGATCAACCTGAACGAGCACATTGGAAACGCCGACGGTATGTTCTCAGGTTTACCAGGCTGCTAAACCATGACTAACATGATGCATTTCAGGACACTTTGAGTGGAACAGCTCCGGCTTTGCCGACTCCGCCGAGGACATCTACCTCTCCATCGAGGGCACCGGTCCCGTCGCCGTGCTCCGTGCCAGACTCCGTCGTGAGGACGGCGAGTGGGAGAGCCGTGACCTCAACCTGAGCGAGCGTCTCGCCAACAACGACGGCCAGTTCCACGTAAGTAACCTTTATTGCCCTGCAAAATCTGATGAGCAATTGCTAACTTTGACTGTCACAGTGGAGTAAGTTACTTCCAAAGTCAACTGATCTGAAAGCCTTCGAGAAACTAACAGTGCAATGTAGCCTAAATTTATACCCACAAAGCGATTTGATTCAGGATCTATTTGGTAGGACAAACCATGCTGTACTATCAAGGACCAAAGATAAACAAGCCAATGTCTCAATAAAAGATTGCCATTGCCTTGTACAAGAGTTTTGTCCCTCTCATGTTGTGACTGTGAATACATGTCAGCTGTTGATCGGTTTCATTTCGAATTCGATACGGTAGACGTCCTCTAAAGCGGGGCATTTTGATATTCCAGACTCGGCTACGTTGGATTGTAGAGATGTTGCTATCAATTATCTCACGCTATACCGTCGTACAAAATACTGACTCGATCATTTTCACTATTGCAATTTCGACTCCAAATGATCTGTCTAAATTCAACCGCTACCGTGACTGTTTGAAGACTGCTGCGGTCAATTCTCCAAGTTCTCAACGTTGTGGAATGCCAACAACCCCTCATGAGATCATACCTCTGACATGTACAGCTCTACACGTTTCTAGGAGTATACGTGTTCGTTTCGGGTTGCTCGTAAGGTCCATAAATACGGATCCACTGGTGAGGTAATTCCCGTGGGCTATGTTGTCGTGATATAGTTTTGCGGTTCCGCACAACTGGCATTGTCTCCACAATTTAGACTGCTCGCCCCCTAGTTGACTGTGTTCCTGCGTGCAGGTCGAGGCGAGGCGAGATGCGGTCAACCCCATATTGCAATCTCCATCGGTTACTGATTAGTGTACTGTGTCGGTCATAGGATACAAAGTCAAAAGGGGCAGCTGGTAAGTACTGATTCCTGATGTCATAAGATCACTCGGAAGCTTTCCTATGGTTTGATGAGGACAGAAGCTTGATCTTCTCGGTGGCTGAAATTCTAACATTTGAGAATCGAGAGTTGAGCTTTCTTCGGACACCTGGACGTGGATCTACTCAATTACCAAATAGGGCACCAGCGAACAGCATGACATACTACAATAAATGCATCAGAGTGTACAGGTTTGTTCCCAGCACGAGTGCTCGAGCGAAAGCAAGTGACTGTTCGCTATAGAAGTTCAAAATGATTAAAATTCACCAGTAATCAGCCTGTTGGACGATGCAGCATTCTTCCTAACAACAAAGAGTGGACGCGATCAGCAGAGACATGTACTTCGGCTGCCCGCACCGGCGAAAGACTAGCCAATGGGAGATACCACTGTGACTATTTCGATCTATCTCAGTTTTGCCTTGACAAGCAACGGTTTGAGACAGGCTACCGCTGGTGAGAAATCGGCTTCTAGATATGCCTTCGGATCTGCTAATTCAAGCTAAAATTGTACCATTAGCGTTCGAGCACCAAGCCTTGCAAAGGAACATGTGAGTAACTTACCTCAAACTTCATTAGCAATGCAGGCAGCACCTTCTTCATCTGCATTATGGCAACATTCTGACCTAAGCAAACGCGACGACCGCGACTGAAGCCCATGTGCGTCGCCTCCATCCGCCTCAGCGCGTCCGGATCCGACGTAAGCCAGCGCTCCGGACGATAGATGTTGGCATCGTTACCATATATCCCCGTGTTCTGATGCACGGCAGATGGCAGACAACCCACGCTGGTGCCTTCTGGGAAGAACATGCCGGCAATAGTGGCACCTCCAGCAGGCACGAGGCGCTCCATCGGCCAAGTCGGGGTGGGAAATACACGCATACTCTCCCGGATGACGGCGTTGAGGTACGGCAACTTGCTGACCTCGGAATTGGAGGGAATTTCGGGAAGCTTGGCTTGCGATAGCTCGTCCCGCAGGGCCTTGAGAGCGGCCGGGTTCTTCAGAAGATTATAAATGGCCGCCGTGACTGTCGTGGCGGTCGTATCGCCAGCACCGGAGATGGTGGACATGAGCATTCCCACAACTCCGGAAGTATTAAGTGCCTCGGGATGGTCTTTGCTCGCTTCCAGAAATCGATGGAGGAGGTCTATACGCTCGGTACCGTCTTTTGCCTGGCTAGATCTCATTTTCAATTTCTGGACTGCGGCTGTTGCCATGCTTGAAGGGGCACGCTTTTGTCGCATGGCCAATGGGTTGCGGTACACTAATCTCTCCAGACCTGGGATGGATGACCACCAACCCCAGTGATTGAAGCGATCGCGGATCAGTTGAATTGAGCCGCCCACATCGGCTTCCACCTCGAGGCACCCTAGAGGCTCGCCAAAGGAAAAACGCCCTGCAGCATCCATGGTATAATGTAGAACCATTGACGAGAGATCAAATACCGACTTCTTCTCGACTATTTCGAGAAGCTCAACAATGGTGGTATCGATCCACGATTCATAATCCAGAACAGCAGTAGGAGTGAATGCGTTGGCGACGGACCTTCGTAGTGCGCCGTGGCGACCCTCATCAGCGGTGCTCACCAGACTGGGAACCTCTTTACCGTTTTGTATTCCAACCAACACCTTGTACGAATCTGCCTGTAAGCTGTGTTAAAATGGAAATAAAAGAACAGACGAAACAATATTCCGATATCGTTACCGTAATAAATCCTGCTCGACTCCCATAGACAACATTGATAATTTCAGGGTCGTTGATGCTGATGCTCCGCACTCCGTATCTGACGATCGGACCACATTTGGAGTGCAAATCAATCAATTTCTGCCTCAGCTTGCCATTATACTGCATGTAAGCCCGCCAAAGATCGGTGGTGCCAGCAAGGAGCGGCCCAGGTGCTTTACTGAGTTTTAACCAATTAATGAATAAATGAACACAGATAAGAGCGGCTGCAAACACGGCCCAGGACGCAATCGTCGATGCCATATTGTATAGACTTTACTCGATGGGAAAGAGTTGTGTTACAAATGCTGTCAGACGACATAGGCATTGCCAGAATAAATGCGCTCGTCCACTTGGAGTTGAGTGGCAAGGCATGCGCACATATTTCTGCTCACTAAGACTACATGCTGGCGCATCAGCACTACGACTCCCTGGATATAAGACAGGCAAGTAAACCCCTCTTCTTGCGGGCTAGGAGCTGGTTTAAGAATCCTACAATATGCTTTGCCTAATTAACAGGCTTACATCTGGTGCACGGTCGTCTCCAGTTCCATCTGATTATCCCCTCTGCAGAGCTACTCAAGCTTAGCAGTGAGTCTATATATCACCTTGTATGTGCCAAAGTATGACGTTGAGGAATGCAAATGAAGAACAAAGTCTGTTTTCGCTCTCTCCCTCACACAAATGCATGAGCATTCTCAGCCTGTCGCTCTAATCATGCGGTATTCAGATTGCTTTGCATACTATTCCGCATATGACGAAAACATGCTGACATCATATTATAGCTCAAGCAGATCTTTGAAGCGGCCGCGCTGGGATAACAGCCGAGGTTGGAGGTGTTTGTCTATATCCTGCTTGGCGCTGTCGATTGAGCATTCAAATGTTCTCAGCGTAGTTCGTCTATTCCTGGTACAAACACATGATGATTCCGCGCAAAGACGAATTAATGTATCTTACAATGTTGACACCCATACAACATTGAAAAAGATATACTCAAGTAAAGAGGAAGAAAACCTTAGGAGAGGATTACTACCAACGTAAGGTATTCGAACCTAGTGCACTTCAAAGTTCGTGCCACTAGCTCTGCAATTTGGTCGCACAGGAAAGATCAGTGGCGCTATTAGCCCGCGCCCAACCCTTGCCAACTAACCAAATTGTCAACCAAATTGTCCACGCACAATTTTTTGCAACAACGCCAAATTCGCATTCTGAGAGCCAGTGTCGAAAAAAGTTGGAATGAAACAGTAACACCAACTTCACGATGCGGATATTCGTAAAGCAAAAATGAGCGACATTGGCCTGATTCGAACAGACGCTCCCGAAGGAACAAGATCACAGAAGATCAGCGAAACATAGGAACACTGTTATTCTAGTCTTGCGCATTAGACCACTCTGCCACAATGCCTTGTGATTGGATGACATGATTTTCCGTTAGATGGCAATATGAACAAATCATCAACTAGGGACCACTGGAGACTTCAGACCCGCCTGGCTCGCAATATGGATAACAGACTGGCGTCGGAACCTACCGTGAACTATTAAGAAAGCTCATAGAATATTGTTACTACATGCCTATCATTATAAAGCAGAAGGGGAAATCGACAACCTGTCTTAATGTCAGGAGATGTGCCACCCACCATACCAAAGATGACTACTTACCTACCCTTGAACGTTCTGTGGCCATACAGATGTCACCTCCACGTGCCGCTATTGTACCGTTTGGCAGCTCCTTCAAGAGAAGCAGGTTAACAATGGCCATAGCGACGATGCCAACGTCAATCTCAATGCCACTGGGGTCCTCGGTGCGTAGGAAACTTGAGCAAGCATTGAAGTCGGGGCCAAATTTGCAGAAGCTTGGCCGGGTATCAATATGGGTGTACTCTGTAGCATCAAGTCTGGTGGAACCTGGTCACGTTAGCGCCGTCAGAACAACTTTACCTGGTCCTTTGTCTGAACGAGGCCAGCCTGCCGTCCGGGAATCGACCATGCTCGCAAAGCTCGGTGCTATTGACTTTTAATGGTCGTATCTGAGGCGTTATTGCGGCGCGGTCCCGACCCGGGCTTAGGCCGATTGTACCATTTCAGCTCTCAGCCAACACAAGTCATATCGACGTACGATGTATATTGTATAATAGGTAACCACATGCTCATAGTCCGAATACCTGGGCATTGAGTCTCATATTTGAATGGCTTCAAGCAAAACTTTCACTGTATATTGAATCTGATGTTTTTCCTGTGCTTTCTTGCATGGACCCCAAGCAGCAATACTCCTAGGCGTACCCGCCCAGCGCTTATGAGACCCGCGTTCGTGACTTGATTGGTGCAGGCCCTTGTCGAGTGACGATAACGCACTCTTGTGATGTGAACCAGCTTGACTCGTCCAGCGTGATTTAAGCTCATTTCTGTTGGAGATTCCTCGAAGCGGGTAGAGGAAGCATTCTTCTTGCAAATCTCGCGCCTCGGGTGGATAGCTTCCTTGTCAGTAGACAGGGGTCTCCCTCGAGCATTATACAAAAATGCCACCAACAGTCCAAGTGCAGAAGCCACTGATAGGAGTGGTAGAGCTCGCGACCGACTGAAATATTTTCCTGTCAACGTTCGTGAGCACCTTTGAGGCCTTTTCTTTTTTATACCTTTTGTCATTCTTCTTGATGTTGGCTTGCCTTGTACTTAAGGACCGGACGACAAAATTAGTCTGACAATGGCGCTCATCACTTGCGAGAGCATCGTATTGTCGCTTCTCCTTTTTGCTAGAAGCTGCGCTTCACAGTCCACTGCAATGACTACCTATACAAGCTCGAATTTCATAGGCTACTACATATCACCTGACGGGCAAGGTGAGTCTATTATATTGAAAGAAATACATATTCTTGAGGGCTGACTCCTGCCCAATTATATATGCAGCCGAGACGCTCAATGCTGGTAACGCGTGGACGACATCCGGGACATTTGCAGGCGATTGTGACAGCGACAGCTCAACGTGCAGCTTAGCAACGGCGTGCCTGTCAGAGACGCTCTACTTCAACAACGAGGAGAAGCTATCATGGTGAGCTTGACTTGAGGCCACTTGGAGATGGTACAGTCGTTCGGCCATGATTTTTAACATCTCGTGTAGCACGGGCGGCCTGTCTTGCGTCACATTCACTATTTTTCAAACTTCGCCTAATGCCTGGCCATCTGCCACGAATTATGGTTGTCGGTTAGCATGGTCGGCAAACACTGTGTATAAAGAACTGGCAACAACCACGGCCGTCTCGACGGGTAAGGCTGTATAAATTTGCTGTTTGACTTCGTTACTGATCGGTAAAAAAAAACAATGATAGGTTCAACATTGATACTAGGAAGTGCATCGACGGAGGCGACCCCTACGTCAACTACGACAACGTCAACCGTTGTCTCATCATCTCCGACTTCTACAAATAGCAGCGATGGCTCAATAAGCAGCAACGATAGCTCTTTGAGTAAAGCTTGGATCGCCGGAGCTGTACTAGGACCTGTCGCAGCTCTCACAATCGTTGCAGTAGCATTGTACTTTATCAGAAAACATAGACGCACAGCGCTAGGCCAAGCCGGAGCTCAGGATACCAATCAGGGGATGAGATATTTGGACCATCACGGGTATGCAAAACCGGAGTTGGATGCTACAATGACAACCTCGCATCAGTATGTTCCCGCAGAATTAGATGCTAGCATTCATCACTCGGCTCATACATCGACCATCGCCCGATCTCCGGTTGAACTTTCGTAAGAATTTTGATTTCATGAGGGGTGCAAACAGATGGCACAGGTAGCAGATCAAAAAAGCCAAGCACTCAAGTGACGACAAAGCTGGCTATCAAAAAGAAAGCAAATACATCAGAATTACTTGCAATATAAGACCTGAAAAGATAATAATGATCTCTAAGAGGCAACTTGGAACACGCAGATCTGAGTATGATTGTATATGCTAGAGACATTAACTACCTAAGCAACAGTCTACCTCGAATGAATAACGAATCTCTGACGCCAATGGAGTTCAAGGTTCCCGGACATACCCGCGATTAGGCCACAACCAAAATCATCCTTCACTGGCGGGCAGAGACACCGCGCATACTTCAGTCCTTGATGATCGTCGCCGCTTCCCAATACCTACCTTTCCTTAAGATGGTTTATTGAATTCTTTAATTCTTCCAGTTGCTGGCCATCAGACATGACTCAACACTGGATCGCCTCGAGCACCTCAACTTGTCAATGATCCCCACATCGCGCGGCCCAAATTCATGGACACACACTGGTCTTGAGCGCCTTATGGTAATAGATATGCAATAATGCTCGTCTAAAGAGTGTATAAATGCTCCATTGAATGATAGTGGCAAGCGGTCTTGACATGATGTCCGACCTTCCCCTCTTCTTCCTTGGACCGGAAATCTGGAGAGCAACCGATTCAGATGTCCAAGAATCACAGAGAAACAGTATGTCCACCGAATCTTAATACCTAGTCGTATTTCCAAATGAAAGTATTCCGTAAGGACAACGATGAACTCAACAAGCGTACTCCGTGGAAGACACAGCGAGGGATCTCTTATCGACCAGGGCATCGGACATAGCCCGAGTTCGATCGGTCGCAAGGTGCTCCATCTCCCCTGATACGCAGATGAGTCAGAAAACAACCGATGACTGTAAAAGAGGGATACATGGCTTGACTTACGCGCCAGACTGAGCTGTACATTTGCCCTCGCTGCAGTCATAGTTGAAGAGCCCGATCTTGCAAGAAGTCCCATTGCATTCCTTTTTCGATTCACGTTAGAAGCATCCCGCGAAACTTGGGCCTCATGTATAAGCACTCACACCACAATCGGCATTCAGAGAATCGCACTGGCGCTTTTCCAGGTTTCCGGCGGAAACCCCAGCTTCCGTGGCAGGAGCTGCAAGGCCCAAAGTGGCACTAATAGCTAAAATGGAGAGGGTATGGAAGAACTTCATCTTGAGAATTGTATTGTAGCAGAATTATTGCAGCTACGAGTGAAGTTGAGTAAATATGAGGCTGGGTAGATTTGAATGCTGTAGAATCGATGAGGATATTGAGATTTCATGGTGCGAATTGAGTACCGTATTTATACAAATCCCCAAGCTACTCAAGGCCGACTCTTATGTTGTCGTAGATGCTAAGAGTGACAACACGTAATCCTCTACTGGCTCGTATATTGTGCCAATTTTATCAGCAGACTGCGCAAATCCCACATAATGCTTATGAGAAAGTTCCTTCATATATGTAGATTTCGTTTGCGTGCTGGGTATTATGGGTCAATGTAAACCTCTTTTGTGTTTGCTAACGTGATGTAGGCTGTCGATCAGGTCTTGGCGGTTGCACTGCGGTTATGTAGGCAGCGCCAGACGCAGGGCTGATCTACGTTTTGCCTAGATCTATTCATGGTAGTGCTGGGTTGAATGCTTACATCGTGACAAAGAGTAATCGTATAAACCAAATGATGGACGCTACAATGCCATTCTGACACTTGAAGTGACCCATAGTCAGCAGACCGGCAGTGCAAATATCCATTCTTGGACTGCCGGATTGATGTTCGGACAGGCAACAGCCAGTCGGACCCCAGTGTCACATGTTCTTACTCGATCAACACTTCTCTTCCGATACTTTCTTGCATTCGTACACAGTCATCAATGTTCAAGAAATCATGATATTACTTAGAGAGTCAAGTAAGACGAATCATAACCGTGCTGCTTCGGCACCAAATCTCGCCATATCACAGTGCCCAATCGACGAGAGGATTGTTGGTGGTAGGTAAGCTACTAATTCTTGAATATTGGCATTCATACTCGTACTTGCGATTGCCGCCATGATGTGGTCACCAGAACGAAACTGCCAAGGAGGAGGTTTAGTATTGCTACTGCCGTCGTGATAAAACAGAGGGAAAAAGAGTATGTCATTACCACGAAGAACGGTTGAAAACCTGCCCCTCATAAAAGCGGCACATTTGTATTATTGGGCGGTGTTACGGGTGTACTTGGACAGAACTAGAAGGAATACTAATAACCTGTATCATCTGGTCGCTTGGTCCAAATATTCTGGACCGTCTATTACTTTGAGTCCTTTGATGCGAATTAGAGTCGCCTCTACGCATCGCAAAATGAAAGATGGAGGAGGATTTGGCCCTGTCATGACGCCATGATTTCTGATGAGGATGACCAAGGTATACGTCATTCATCAAGGCTTTGGTTTGGGCGTCTTCTACGCACGCTGCCACTATCTTGTCAAAGCTGTGGAGGTCCCCTGAATCTGGCAGTCTGGTCATTTGCTGCATCAATTCCAGTATCTTTTTTCTCGAGAATGAGTGTTGAGGTGCAATAGATTTGGACCTCTTACAGTGGTTGTGCATATGGACTAATGGAACAGACATGTTGATGATG